TGCAAAACATTCTTTATGTCGGCTGTCCCGCGACTCGTATATTCTTCAAGCAACTTTGACAGAAGGTCGCTGGATTTCTAAAAATGTGGTTATCCTTTCAATCACTTGAAAGTCAAAGATTGTTTTCACTGACCATAACTGCATAAGTTTACGTAACACTAACTCTGCCATTTTGGTTGCTGAAGATCTCTACTATTTTTTTAACCATAAGGTCTGTTTCGCTATTTTCAGCAACAACAAGTTGGGACAGCAATAACACTGTTATCGGAACGATGTTTATCACGTTATTACTGCTGGGATGCATCCTGGAAATTGAGCTTTAGGCAGGATTAAAATTTACCAAGAGCGTACGACTTTTATAGCTTCACACAAATTTGACATAATATTTAAAAAAAAATAAAAATTGTGAAATACAGTTAACCAAAAGAAGTCTACTGAATAAACGGCTTTTTTCAAAAATTATATAATTTTTGCTTTCAATTAGGACGTTTTTTTCAAATAAAGTCATTATAGACTACATACTTTTGAAAGTTTGAAACAAGTTTTAAGGTTGATCACCTGTTAATTAAAATTTGTGTTTTCAAAAGCTGCAAGGATGATATAAATTTTTGCGAAGTATATAGAGTGACAAAAATTTTCTTTGCAAGTAAATAAATTACATAATTAGAACGAAACTATCTGAGTTCAGCAACTTAGGAAATTAAGAGAAGTGCTCTAAATGAAATGCTGATTACAACTCTTACAGCTTCTGATTTCTAAACGATTATGCAAATACCCGTTTTTTAATTATTTTTTAAGTCTTTTCATATTGTCCTCTTTTTCCTGACGTCTCCGATTCTGTGCACAACTTCTAGATAATAAACACTTAATTAGCACAGGTGGAACTGTTTCTTGTTGCTGTGACTTTAAGCCTTCAAGTACAAATCAAGACAGCGTAATGAAAACAACTTTTCATATCTGAAATCACTGTTTTTTTCATTAAAACTTTAAAAACTTCTTGCTCCTATTTAAAGTTAATCGCAGTTGAAAAAAAAAAACTATGTTTTTAATACTGAACAGATTGAGAGGCCAGTAAGTATTTTTCATTCTGTGTTTATATGCTGTTATTTGTACTGCTTTACGTAAATCTCAAACTAACCGGGTAACATAATACAATTACATAGTAGCCATCAACTTTCTCCACTATCTATGGTAACGTAGATTGTACAAATGGTATAACCGACAGCGTAACTAACGGTTTTTATAACTTTCTGCATATTACAAAAACTTTTCTGCAACATGCAACCCGACAAAACAATTTTAACAATTTTTGGTTACTTGTTATGGAAAATCTTTTTGAGTATTACAAAGGCTCATATTCATCAACATTAACTTATCGTTTTTTCCATTGATAAAAATTTGCGACTTTTCACGGAAAAAAAGTGGTGATAGAGTCCTAAATTTATTTCTTCAATCGACTGTTAAAGAAGAATAGGAAGTACGAAAAAGATTAGGCTAGATAACATTTTAAGGTAATTGCTGAAGAGATTTGAACATGTCTATCGCTAAAGTGGAGTATTTTTTCAATCCTTCAAGCTTGAAGCAATCAACATTGAAATATCATCTTTACGAAAAGGCCATAAGTTTTTTAAATTGTCATTTAAAAATAATGAAGCCCAATATTCAAGGTTCATCCAAAGGCTGATGCTGCAGTTTGTGATAATTTTGGCAAACCGCTCCGACCAATTGCTTTTACAACATTTCGTCATTACAGCATCAAAAAACACTTTTTGCTCGACGTATAATAATAACAGCAATAACAGTAAATAAACAGTTTTAGAGTACTTTTTTCAACTGATTTAGCTGTAACTGAAGACCAAGAGATGTTTACCAACCTTTTTGCTTACAACGTCTTTTGGTGAAGAAATAGATTTTGGAAATTTGCAGTGTAAAAACCACGTCTAGAACAGTTCAAAATGTCGTAATCCCGAAAATTATAGCGTAACTGTTGTACAAGTTAATGTTTGTCATAAAAAGATCGTTTGTTAAATGTTAAAAGAAACTAATATCAGTAAACGGTAGCAAAAGTAAAGAACTGAGAACAAAGCCGGAGAATGATTGTTAAAAGCGACAAAAAGTGAAGCAGACATTTGAGAAGAAGCTACTCGGAAACATATTCTGTAAAGTCAAGAAATACTTTTTGTTTGCTGTAAGAAAAATTCCTTGTCACAACAAAAGATTTCTGGAAGTTGAGCTGTAGGCAGGATTGACGGTTTGGCTGTTTCCTATCAAGCACGCTTAACATTTTTGCACAGCAACCGATGAAAACTTGACCGTGATTTTTCACGGGGGCTGGCCCTCTACCATCAAAGAAACTACAGCTGAAACTGAGACAGGCGCTAATTTGCTAACGGATTCTAGCAAAAAGTGTGGAAGTTTTTATAATCGATGGTTATCACAGTTCAGTCGCTAACCGTATTCCTCAAAATAGTCGAAAAACAAAAAAAATTAGAACCGCTGAACATTAACGCTGCAATAAATAATTGCCGGTATCGATTATCTTCTTTCTATATTAGACCAAAATTACGCACAGCTTAATTTCCACTGTTTCAATGAAAGTTTTTTATCAGTGGTTAAAAAACTTGTAGTTTAAGCAAATATAAGTTTATTTTGAAGCAAGTAAAGTGGATTAACGAAAACACTGTTAAAGACGAAACAAAAAATGGTAGGATTGGATGGGAGACTGGAAAGTTGCATTTTGACGGTTGAAGCAACAGTGACAATTTGGCAGATACTACCAAATTGACCTAAATCTTTCCTGTAGTTTGCTAACATTCTCATCTTCCTTCTCCCAACTTTTTTATTTCACGTTCTATTAGCTTCCATGTTTGTGAAGCATTAATATTTTGAATAAATTCAGGAGGCAAAAGAAAACAAAATGTTATTCAGAAGCTTTTTTTTTTCTTTTTGGATTGAGTTCCAAAATGAGTTTTTTGAATGTTTAAAATTGTTAATATAGAGTTTTTTTTCAAAATCTGTATTTCTTTTTAATAAAAATTATAAAACGATAACAGCAATATCGTTAATATATCAAACGGGAAAATATAATAACCATTAAATTGCTGCAGCAGCATTTACTGTGAATCAATGAATTATTGCTTAATATATCAAATAATCCGATGACCATAAAAAAAAAAAGATCGCAGAAACATTATTCGTTCATTTTTTTACGCTTACAAATTTTACATTGAAAATGCTAATTTAAAGTTATTATCCAACGAAAACACTAATAATATTCATCGCCAATAATTCTGGCAAAACAAAAATTTTTTACTTATTTTATGTGCAAATACATATTTAAATTCACCATTCTAAAAAGAAAGCAATTCTTTTTTAAGAAGTTCAAAATATCGACAATTAGATAGTATAGTGTTATTCAACTTATTGTAGGCATTACGATATACCTATTTTCGATCATTTATCGTAGTATTACTGAATGCTAAGCAACATTTTAGAACAATGATGTCAAATAGGGCAAAAGAAGAAAGTATTTCTTCAGCTGCTGTTAATCTCAAAATGTTTCTGAGGCATCTGGCATCTGACTAGCCCAGTTCAGATGGCTTTACTGATTGTACAGGTAGAAACAATGTTAAATTTATAAATCTCATTAAAATCAAATAAATCTGCACAGTTGCCTTTTTGGGATTATCTGAAGCATAGAACGTGCTTGAGTATTACTAACTACTAAAATTATCTGTAAAGCAGTTTTAGGACTGCGATATGTCGGCTACTATATCGAATAACTAAGAAGAAAAAAAATACCAAGCTGATTCATCAAAGTAAATAATTAATAAAAATTATTATCCTTCCCACAAATACTGCCTACAATAAAACATAGTAAGTTAAAACTATTCTTCGTCAACTATAACCACTTTTTTTTTGTACGCTCTTCCTTCACGTTCTTTTAATTAAACTTAAGTTTTTTGCAAATGACAGTAAAAGGTACAAGCAGTATTAGCAACATAGTAAACAGAATTAAGAAAGAACCTCAAATATGTGTTTTAAATAGTTGGAACAAATATGCTACTGGCTGACTGGAAATAAAAAACGAAAGTAAAAATGATTTT